TCCTCGGAGCAGCCGAGAGGGAAAACTACCCTCGCTGCCCACGATGCCCTGCAGCCACGGTTTGCGTTCAGCCTCCGCTCCGAACCCAGCTCAGAGAGGCCATGGGGAGAAAAAGGAAAAATAAAGAAGGGTGGGCAGCGCGTGCGGAGCAGTGGTTTACACTGGGGGCAGCAGTGGACGGGGGCTCTGTGCCGCCTCGTCCGGCCTGCCTTTTCGCTCTCCCTTGTGCTCTTCCCGCAAAGGGAAAACGAGCCAAGGGGGTAAAGGCTGAAAGGGAGCGCGGAGGCAAAGCGCTGCGGGCGTCTTCAGTTCGGATCCCTCCAGGCTGGCAGGGACCCCGGTTAAAAGTGGCTTGAGTTGTTGTCGTTTTTGTTTTTTAACTGGGCTTCGGGGCGTTGTGGGGAAGTCGGAGGACCAGGGCGGCCACCACGGACGGACGCTGGTGACCCACGCTGGTGATCGGCGGGGTCGGGGCCAGACTCGGAGCCCCGGCTCGGAGCGAGTGGGGAAATCACACACCTGTTCTGCACACGGCGCCGAGTGCAGCGGCCAGGTGGCGGCCGCGCGGACGGCGCAGCCCTCCCTCCCGCGCCCCGGACCCACCCTCCGGACGCCGCGAGGGCCCCGCAGCCCAGCGCTCGCCTGCATTCGCTGGAGAGCGGAGTGGGGGAGCCCGGGGCGGTGGCGCTCGAGGATGGGGGGGGTCCCGATGACCCACAGGGCGGAGCTGTTCGGGGCTCCAAGTCCTTGGACTTTGGTCGAAGGCAGGCTGTTTTGAACCCCCTACCTCGAGGCCAGGCGGGGCTACAGACCCCGGCCCCTCGTGCTTGTCGTTTCTTCCTCGACTGGCGCCTGGGTTCCCCCAAAGTTAAAGCAAATTTTGTTGGGCAGAGGTTGTTGGGATTTAAAGTATTCTTTGTGCACAGGCCACGGAGAACTGGAGAGAGGAAGAGAGGTCAGGCCAAGGGAAAGGTGGGCTCGGCTCAGCGTGGACCCCCAAGTTGGTGTAGGTGTTGCCTTCCTCTGTTTGCCTTAAAGGAGTTGTTGTTGTTGTTACTATTATTATTATTTCTGAATTGAGACTCTTCCTTGGGCTGAATTCTGCACCCGATTGCTCAGCCTGCAGCCCCGAGTTTTCGGATCTGCCTGGCCGTGGCGGGTGCGGTTCCACACTCCTTGGCCAAGCAGGACCCGGGTCCCAGTCCAAATGTGGGACGGATACCCCGCCGGGTCCGAACCCCATGGGTCGGCCCTAGCTTGAGCCGTATTCTCCTTGTGTTCTCGAAGCTCTGGCTGAAGTGGTAACATTTCTGTTAGGGCAATGTTTCTCAAGGCATTTGGTGGGACGCGGGGGGGGGGTCATTTTCTTCAAGTGAAGTCTGTGAGCTAAAAAAAAATAAAAATAAAAATAAATAAAATTCTTTTCTCCTTTCTTCACAATCGCCCCGCTATGCTAGCCTCATTTCCATTGTCCTTTGCTTTTTTAAGTTGCTTGTTAATTTTTTTAAAAGTTAGTTTATGCAAAGGAAAAATATCGTTTAATTTGTTCTATTATTTTAAGTCTTGGCTTTTTGGAAACGGTTCAGAGCCCACAAAAATGTCACCTGTTGTAATAAGCAGGGGAGGGTGGTGTGTGCATTTTAATTGGCAGCAGAGACGTCGTTTGGTGGACGCCCTGAGCTCCGCTCGGGGAAAGAGCCCTTTGCAGCTTGCTTTGTGGCAGTCATTTGCAAATGGGTTTCGCCTCCCCACCGCAAGCAGCAGCTGCTTCGGCGACAACAGCGCTTCCTTCCACCACGACCCCCGGTGCGGGTAAAGGAGGCCCAGGCTCTGGACAGGAGTGGGAGATGGCCCCGCTCCCTGGGGATTTTTTTTCTTTTTCTCTTTCTCTCTGGGTTTGGGATTTTTTTTAATTTTTAAATTTTTTTTCTTTTTTGCGCGAAAAAGTGTCTAGTTTGCACTGCCCAGGGCGGACCGCGGCGCCTCAAGCCTGGATTCAGACATGTCCACCATCCAAAGGGCTCCTTCGTTTCATTTGTCTTGGGTCTGGCATGTTTAACCACGCAATTAGTAGTCTCACTAATTATTCAGTTAGCTGGCGTCTTGTAATCACTTGAAAACCGGGGTCAGGTGTGTGATTTAAGAAACAAACAAACTCCCTCCTACAGAACTGAACCTAACCCATCACGTCAAGGATTTGAAATTTTCAAAACTCAATATTAGTTGGTCCCTCTGTCCAACCTCGCTGCCTGCCAGACAATTTATTTAGCTTCGTGGATTGATCCCTCCTCCTTGTTTAGTTAATTCAACAAAGACTTTTTGCAATCTGTTTGGAGTTTGTCTGATGCCGTGGAAAAGTAGCTGATGATTTATTTGGTTGCTTTTCGATTTCTGTCTTCAGCCCTTCTTTCTCCTCCTTTCAGCGGGCATGTCAGCTGTTATTACTTCCTATTGATCCCTTTGCAAAGTGAGAAGTGAACTAAAATTAATGTCAATTCCACTGCTTGGATCAATAGCTGGAGTTATTTTAATCTGGATTTGCACGAAGTGCTAAATTAAAAAAAATCAGCATAGAGGCAGAAAAAGTAACAGTTACTTACTTTCCCTTTGCCCGGTTCTTTACAGTCACCCAAATACTCCATCAAACTGATTATCTTACAATCCATATTTTTTTAATTAAGAGGGTCAGTTAGTTTTCTTATTTTGGGTTCTGTGTTTAAACCCATGACATTTTGACATTGGGAGTGTATTAACTATAGATTTTCATAATGACTGTGGTCTGCTGAAGCCTCATCTATACAAGTTGTTAATGTGAGGAGGGGAGAAAGAAAAGGAAAAAGATAGAAACACTCCTCCTCCCCCATCAGGACCACCCAACACCCACAACAGTAGAGTAAAAGAAACCTGGCCTAGGGGAAATTTTTTTTGATTTATTTTCAGTATAATGAAGTTTTCAAATGAATAAACAGGTTTGAGTGATTACCATGTTCTGTTGGAGTGTCCAGTGCTGTCTCCAGATTATTAATTTATGAAACTTATTTAACATAATGAAGTAATCTAGGAAGTAAGAGAATGTGAATCCTGAGGAGGGGGAAGGGATCATTTTGGGAAGAAACATTCCTCCACTCACCCTCAGTGTCTGTCTTTTCTTCCTGCTGGCCTCATGTGCTATGGCTTGTCAGTAGACATGTGCTTATTTATTTCTGCAATGAAGATCTTCTTAGAACCTTTGGAATAGCCCTAGACCCACTTTCAGCACATCCATGTTGTGCGACCATTAATCTGACTTGAAAACAGCCAAGAACAGGATTCCCAGACTTGTCAGGCTAACTGGCTGTCCTTGGCAGATCATTCCCTGCACTGCTATAACTTGACAGGAAAGTTATTTAAAATTTGGAAGAGAGGAAAATCCGTTAATGTGAGATACATAATCTGGTAATTTAGCAATGATGTCTATAAGGAAAGAAGCCAAATGAGGAAGCAGTCTGATGGTGTCCACTCATCTTCCCAATTAATAACAGTCATTGACACGTCTGCTACAGGATGGGAGAAGGAAATACTCTCTCGTACTGCATTAAGCCTGAAGGACTCATCTGCAGGATTCTCTGTTTGAGGGAATACCAAAGATATTCCATTAAGGAGGTGGGTTTTTAAAGGGAGGGGGTCACTTATTTCTGATATGACTTTCGATCTAAAGGTTATCTTTTGTAGCCGATGGTGATTTTTAGTTACACTTTGAGTTTCACTCAGTTTCTGTTGAGTGGATTGATTTGAAGCTAGTAAGTCTTAGTATTCATCTTATATTCTGGCTTTTGATATATAGCCCTCCCCCACCCCACCCCCAGTCAGTATAAATTTTGAAACCAAATCAGTGGCTATGAGAATGTACAACTTAAATTTACAAGGGAAGCTGAAAGAAGTCTCTCGGAACTCCAGTTTGTTCTGGGGCTTTTATTGGACATCAGCTTTGACTGGGCCAATAAGCAGACCAAAATAAGTCAGAAATTTTGTTAACATTTTGCTCTAAATGTTAATGGCAAATCCAAGGCTGTTTACAAATCTACTTAAGACAGAGTGCATTAGTAACTAAAATTGCCAATCCATTCTTTGCGGCCTCTGGAAGACAGATGCTTCTAGAGAGCCAAAGATACCTATTATGTTTTTAAATATTGTCAGAGGTGTCCAGGATCTTATTGATGATGGTTTTGTTCCTTCTCAGAAAAGTGAAATAGAAAGCCTGTGTGATTGCAGGGTTGTGCTGCTGTTTGTTCACATAGCACTCCTTTCTGGAAACAGTCTCAGATGATACATGAAGATGTATGTGTCAATGTGAGTGATTTAGCCGCACGTACAATTTGTATCAACTAACATGTACAGATGTTCCTGGTCACAATGTGTGTGATATAGGCATTTCCCCCCAATATTGGGGCATTGTTCTGGGAGATGAAGAGAAGATGCAAATATGAAGACTCTGATAGATAGAACCTGGCCTCTGAACATCAGGCCTGCACATGAGTAGTATATGTAGGTGAAAATATAGATCCCCCCCCCCACCAATCTACTGTGTGACTTGGCTTTCCAAAGCTCATTTGCTCAGGGAATATTGTATTTGGAGGTTTTATGATTTTTTTTCCTTTGCTGGGCTCAGACGCATTTCACCCGGAACGTGTAGGGACCAAAGTCAGCTACGCGTACATCACAGTAAGTTGTCTATTGATTTTCCTGAATGAAAATGGTCTGCTGCTGCTGCCCACTGGCTCCTAAAGCCTGTGGTATCTCTTGCCCAAGCATCTGTAAGCCAGAAAGATGGGTTTCAATCACTTGGGGTTTCCCTTTTTTTTCCTTCCCCTGACATTCCTCCCTCTTTTTTTCCCCTCTTTGCTGTTTCCACAGGACATGATTCCTCAGTAATATTCCCCGCCCAGATCCAAGGTGCCACCCTTACTCCTTTCCAGGGAAGACTGCTTCTTGTCTGACGCTGACCATCAAAAGAGACTCCAATGGACTTACACCGGGCAGCCTTCAAAATGGAGAACTCATCCTACCTTCCCAACCCTCTGGCCTCGCCAGCACTGATGGTCCTGGCATCCACAGCCGAGGCCAGTCGAGATGCTTCCATCCCTTGTCAGCAGCCTCGACCCTTTGGTGTACCTGTGTCAGTAGATAAGGATGTGCATATTCCCTTTACCAATGGTTCCTACACCTTTGCCTCTATGTACCATCGGCAAGGTGGGGTGCCAGGCACCTTTGCCAATCGTGATTTCCCTCCTTCTTTACTACACCTCCACCCTCAGTTTGCTCCCCCAAATCTAGATTGCACCCCAATCAGTATGCTGAATCATAGTGGTGTGGGGGCCTTCCGTCCCTTTGCATCCACTGAGGACCGGGAGAGCTACCAGTCAGCCTTTACACCTGCCAAGCGACTCAAGAACTGCCATGACACAGAGTCTCCCCACCTGCGCTTCTCAGATGCAGATGGCAAGGAATATGACTTTGGGACACAGTTGCCATCTAGCTCCCCCGGTTCACTTAAGGTTGATGATACGGGGAAGAAGATTTTTGCTGTCTCTGGCCTCATTTCTGACCGAGAAGCCTCATCCAGCCCAGAGGATCGGAATGACAGATGTAAGTACTTTGAACGGAGTCCTCCCTCACTCCTCCTCCCCACCCCCCAGTAAGTCCTCCTGGCAGTAGTATTCAACAGGTTGGCAGCCTTGTGACAGGAAGGGCCACCTGCTTTCCTTGCCATAGCTGTGGATGGTTAACCTTTACTTGTCTCTCATCAGTGAGTACTGATAGTGTTTTCCTGAAGATAGCCAGAGGCAAGTTGGCCTCAGCACTGTCTTTTCTCTTCTGGACATGGCTGGCTCCTGCTCTGGGGACTGTGGAAGGAAGAGGGTGCCATATGTACACTAGAGTGAAGATCTTTCCATTTAAAAGCATAGGTTCCTAGGGAATTCGGGAAGGCCTGAGGAAACTTGTCCATTCCTTCTCTCGTTGCTATCCTCATTATGTTTCCCTGCTCATGATATACTACTATCATTTTTTTATTGTTATTGTTACTGTTGTTATTATTATTATAGTTTTTGCATTGTATCACAGCCAGCAGATACCACGTGATTTTTATTCTCACAACTTAGTCCTTATCCACATCAGGCTGTTTTTCAGAGAAGGACAAAGGTGTCGTCAATCACCATAAAGCATTTCAAACAGCTGTGTGTTCCTTGTGATTGCAAGGCTGGAAAGCTGACTTCTCTTGGGATTTGACAGGTTTGCTGGACACTTTTCCTGAGGCTCACTGTTAGGACTCAGCATGGTGGGCCTGTGGGACTGCTCCATAGTTGATGTTCACAACTATTATTAATTCCTGCTTATGAAATGGCTTTTCTCATGCTCTTCAAGTACCTTGTTGAGCTCTGGCTATGCTCACTCATCAGTGGAACTAAACCTTTGTTTGAAACTTGTAGACTAGGAGTACTGAACCCTGCAATCTTCTGCTCTGATATAATCAGAAAATAATTGTGTTTTGGAGCTTTTGGGCTGTGGGTAGACAGAGCAGTTTTCTTCAAGGCTGGTGAGAATTTATGAACTGTGGGTGTTTTCCTACCAACCCTTTGTTCTAAGATTTGTTCTCTTTTATTTTCCTAAGAAAACTACATCTGAGGTTTGCTTTCTCCTCTTCTCTATTTTCTTTTTTGGGCTCCTATCCTCTCAATAACCACCAACACGAATACCATTTTTTTTCTCTTCTCTTTATGATGCCGAGGAGAGTAATAGAGACATTGTAGCTCTCTCCCCTGTCGGCACTGCTTCCTCAGGCTGTCTCCTTGAATTAGGCACTGTGTTAACTTTCCTGCGCTAAAAGGCATCTGCCTAAACCCAGCGTACCTTTTCAATAAAAGTCATCATAAAATCAACCTGCCTTGTAAATCCATCGCTCTTTGGTTTTGAAATATGTTGCAAGTGTGTCTTTTATGTCAGCGTCTGTAAGCCAGAGACCTCCCCACTTAAGGGAGAAGGCTGCTGTCTGACGGACAACTGCTAGTGTGGCTCTGGGCACTTCCACTCTGGCTCCTCTGTCACCTTTTCACTCTCTGCAGACTTGGATCCTGCTTCTTCCTGGACAGGTGTTGGCATTGCGTTGTCTATTTGTTGTTGTTCTTGTTTCATTTTATTTTATTTTCATTTGTTGAGTGATGGGCAAATGATCAAACCTAGCTGTAAACTGACCTCTGGGTTGGAGTATGACTCACTCTGCTCCTTTTTCCTCCAAGTACAAGTTGAAAATGAAATTCTCTGGAAGCTAATTAGTCTACAAAGTAACATCTGGAGATGGAGATTCCTTTCTTCCCGCCTACCAGATCCAGCAGCATCTCCATTTTGCTATCTTTTTAGTCCAAACCCGTATCAGACTCCCAGAGCAGGCAGAAGCTTGTTAGTCAACTCGGAACTCATAGATGTGAATATCCATTCCCCTTCGAGTGTCAAAGCCATAACTCTTCTGTTTGCCTGGTTTGCATTGTGTGGTGGTGCCATCCCCCATGGAGATGGATCCCTCACACAGGAATACGCCTGGGTGGAGAAAAATTAAATGAGTCTGTCTCCCAAAGTGAAATGGAATTCTGACCTTGAAATTAATGGGATTCTGATCAGAAGGGTGGGGGAAACTTCTTTATTTCAAATGGTCATATAAATTGGAGTCCTTTTCCCTTTTATTTGTTTAAAATATTCTTCCCTTCTGGGGTATTTTGTGTTCTTCTTTTTCTTGTCCACAGATATTAAAGCTGTAGGAGGGTCTGGGAGTATAGGATGTCTCTACATATCCACATTAGTAGTCAGAGTTGCATTTGTGGCTAATCTTTAACCAGAAACAAAGGTGCCAAGTGAAGTGGGAGCCTGTCACCCTGTGGGTAGCCTTGGATTTGTGCTTCTTTCTCTTTCCCTCGTCTTAGGTGGTGTAGCAGCCTACACAGGGTAAGACTGGGCAAGATTTGTGCTTTTGGTTCTGAGGTTTTGGAAGGCAGAAACATTTTCTGCCAGGAAGGGCTGGAGAAGCACTATGACAAAGTCGGCAGCAGCTTTCTTGGCTCCTGTCATATGCCGACGTGTGTTGGAATATTTATGGTCTGTTTTATGTAAATACATATTTAAGGGCCGTTAGAAGGCCTGATTATTCCCACTAGATGCCTTTCAGGTCCTCCCTACAGAACCGTTTTGAAATAAGTAATATTTCTCAGATAATCGAGTGACAGTATACAAGACTGCTTCCAAAGGGAGAGAGAGCTTAGGGGCAGATGGGGCAGTGATGGGGGTGGGGAGGTGAGAGGAGAGAGGAGAGCAAATGTTCAAGAGGCAAGAAATAGGATGCAGTGCTTTTGCCCAGATTGCCAAAATGAACCAAGTATGTTTTAGGGTTTTTTTTTTGGTTATTAAAATGTAGAATTAATTTCTGACACACTTGACTGGTTTTTCAGCTCTCTTCTTATAAATACAATGTAAAACATGTTTTAGTTAAATATGATAGTAAAACTTCTAAAGAAGCACTTAGCCTTAGAGTTTTGTTGGTTGGGGGGTGGGGTGGAGCCCAGGGTTTAAAGTGGGAGGGGTGTGTCCTTACTCAGAGTAGAAGTTTTATGACTGAGTTGTAGGTCATTGAAAAAAAATCAGTTTTATAATGGAAACACTGACAGGTTTTTACTGTTGCAGCCACCCCCTGCTTGCATACTGTATCCATATGCAGATATGTCCACATGCCTTTGAAAAGGGGGCCTGCAGACATGGTAAAATGCACACATGTTCATTCCTAAAATCTGGGTGCAGAGAGGCAGGTTTTCTTTGGTGATTAAATATGCACTTTTGAAGTCAGAAGTATAGCTATCTGGGTATTCTCTTTCCTAGTAGATGATTCCAGTTTGCTTGCCTGTCCATCCACCTAGCACCACAGGTGATCCTGAGGTAGGTGTTGTACTCTGTGGAACAAGGAAGCTTTTGCTCTACAGGACTGACTTATTTGCCCTGGAAAATGGGAGAAGAAGTGTTTTGTGTGAAGCTATTCATGGAGGATGCATAATTCCCCAGGAAGGGGACAGAGGTAACTCCTGTTTATTGTCACTCCCTGAACAGTCCCCCAAGGCTCCTTGTCCAGGGAAATGATGCTAGAATTTATGGACCAATTACAAATAGTCCATGTTGTGTCTTACATATGAAGTGTCTACAGAAATGCTTCCCAGGGCCTTTAAAATAAACATTCCTTATTAAGGAAACTTTATCACAAAAGGGAAGGTAAGTACTGTCTGCTGCCTTGTGCTAGAATCCATACACTTATTATCCCCTCAGTACTCTGTTTCCAGTCATGTGTGTTTCCTGATGGAAACCCAATTTTTTTAGACAGTCCTGTACCCAAACTCCTGTCTGGGCAACACCACCTTTGGCCAGCCTGCCTGTGTACCTACTGAGCCCAAACTGGCGTGGGCTAGCATGCATGCTCGCCTCCTCACCCAGAGGGCTCAGAACCGCCCTTGCTGAGCTGTGTCTGGCCTTGTCCTCTAGCTCACCGCAGCGCTAGGCACTGGGCCTTGTTTGGCCCTCTTTCCTGGGTCCTTCCCTGTGCTCAGGTAATCGGGAAATCGGATGGCTCCCAGCAGCTCCTGGATGTTTTGCTTTGCTCTCATCTTTGATGTATTTGAAAAGCCATTCTCAGGTCCCCAAAGCCCTGAGTAGGAGATGGTATTTTGCACTCTGAGATGTGTCTTTATAAAGGCATATGTCACTGAAGACCCTATGGCCCAGGAATCAGCTAAGCCCATCTAAACTAAGGCTGCCTGAAATGAGGGCCAGCTGAAGACAACATAGGGTTGCTGGGAGGGGGGGGGATACTTTCCAAGGGTACTGGGAGCATGGTGAGCAAGGACATTGGTCTAGACTTGGGAAGGGGGAGGATGTTTGGGACAGTTCCCAGGTCACATGGCCCCACTATTGGATTGCTGCTGCTGGAGCCAGATGACCAGTATGAATGGCCAGCAAATCACCAGAGACTGGGGGGGGGGAATTAGATGAGTCCCCCTGACTGCCCAGATCTAAGCTGGATTCAACTGCTGGGGGGAAGGTGCCTCCCGGGCCCCCCCCCCCACACACAGCCTTTTTTCCCTCCCCTTCTCCCCTCTCCATGTGTGTGTGGTGGAAGGGGGCGGTGGGCAAGCTCTCCTGCCTGTGGTATGTGTAGTTGTTTCTGGTTGTTCACTCCCAACACAGTCATGGAGACTCCCTTTTCATGCTGCTGGGTTTAATTGTCTTGTTGGGATAAAGAAATGTTTGCACAGCTAAAGTGGGGCCGGGCTGGACGGGAGCGGTCCCTGATGGCTGCAGAGCCATCTGGCCTGGTTTGGCTCAGCTCGGCTGGGCTCCGTGCGCCGCTCGCTGCGCCGGGCCGCCTGGGCTCGCTCTGGCTCCGGCTCTCGTCCCCTGCCCTCGCTCCTCCGCGCCGCTGTTCGGTCGGTGGCTGCCTCCTCCCATCCCACGGCCCCCGGAATGCCTAATCACCATGGTGAGAAAACGGACACCGTGGCCGCCCCCCCCCCGCCGCCGCCTTGCGCCCGCCCTCCCATCAATTGTCATGCAGAAGTGAT